GGGGGGGGGGCGCGGGGGGGTGGAATCATCCCAAACTGCACCTGGGTGCCCTAGATGGCTCACTAGCAAGGCTATTGTGACTCAGCACTATTTCAGGGGCAGGTTGAACTCCAGTATTAGAAAGGTCATGTACATGGATGCCACAGTCACCATGGTGATGGCAGTATCCAGAGGCAGAGGTAGCACGTGGACCATTTGCCAGAGATCCAGAAAAACGCACGTAAGGCCAGGAGGGTGAGGACATGGGGACAATGGCCAGAGGGTAGTTATTATTAGGCATAATCAAATACAGTCACAATCTGTCTCCCCTCGCCTTCTCAAAAAAGAAGGCAGGATTTCTTTTCCCTCGTGATGGTAAGAAGACAAGTTACCCGTGTTCATGGTTACAAGTAAAAAAAAAAAAAAAAATGAAACAAAATTAAACCAAAAGTTGTTATTACTTAATAAGGAGGTACACAGAAGTTGGTCCTAGGTTTCTTTGATTCTACTAATCCATCATTTACCACATGTCAGGAATGTCTCCCTTCACAGTGCAAATATATCTACACCAGCACTGAGTGTCATCTCCCAGACATCAGCATCTACCTCTGAAACAAAGTGGAATGAGGCAAAAGAACTTTCTGCTCACTTGTCTATACTTTTTTTAATCAAGAAAGAAAACTTTCCCGCAAGATTTCCACTGACTTTTCCTAAATCTTATTGTCACGCTCTCCTCTCTGTATCAATCATTCACAGGAAAGGCTGGGATAATCATGCATAACCTGATTAGGATTCATCCCTCAGGCCGGGGATATTATTCAACAAACAACAGAATCTTGACAGCCAGGAGAAAGTGGTAGGTCCTGGAAAGGAAAGCAGCAGAATGAGTCAGGCTGAGGAAGGGGCTTCAAGTGATTTGAGATGGAAGGATCCAAGGGAGCAGGACACTTGGAAAGGCCTCAGTTTACCCATCTGTAAAAACAGACCTATCAGTTCACTAACCTTACAGGCCCCTCCCAACACTGAGATCCCAGTCCCCTACCCATAACATTTATCACACTCTTATATTTCCTTTTGTTATGCCCATTTCCTCATACTTATCGCCCCACCTAAATGACTGGCTTACCGATGGCAGGAATCCAGGGTGACTTTTTTTTTTGTATTCCAGATGGTCAGTAAACATGCGAGGGGGAAAGCAATACCTAGCGCTCTTAAAAGCTGTCTGCTTTTCTGTTAACCCAATCTGGTTTTTCTCCCTGTAACTCCCCCAAGTGAGAGATGAATAGAGAAGACTATCATTGTTTCTCTACTTAACTCCCGCCACATACTGCCTGCTACTGTGGAATCTGAGAAAAATGTAAGAACTATTGGTATAAACAACGCTGAAGAAGACCAGACGTGCATGTGGAGCCCCATGACGCATCTTCAGCCAGGAGCAGCCGCACTTGCTCCACTGCAATCCAGAGAGGAAAGTCCCGATGATGGCCCGGACATATTGGAAAAAAGATTTGTCTTTCTCCCTGTGCACTGAGTTGCAGGGTTAGCGGCTACCAAAAGAGAATGATTGAAAGAGGCCACAGCCAGGGAAGAGGAGAGCATAGAGGCGGAGCTGGGTACCTCCTTTGTGTGATATAAAACAAGCCATAAATTTAATCGCTATTTGCACACGTCTAAATTGTCATTATTCAGAGGATTTTTAAAGCTGTACGTTGCATGTTTTTAAAAACTTCCTGGAGTTCTTTTCCAATTGGCCAGTTTCCTATGAAATTCAAATAGAAGTGATCCGATAGAGTAAGTGCTTGTTACATAAAAGAGCATGTGTGCTTTTAAATTTAACTCAGAGTGGTTGAAACCTAACATATCGGTTCCTACAATGTATAAGCACAGCTGGACGCAGAGATTATAGAATCCCATAATCTCAATAACCTCCGAGTTGGGAAGGACCTGAAAGATCATCAACTCCAACCACCCTCCCATCGTTCAAATCCTATTTACAAGCAACCTTACCACATCTTTCAGGAGGGCATGGTGTCTCCAGTGACCCAAAGTTCAGAACCTTCCAAGGCAGCACATATGGGGAGAGGGGAAATTCTGGAGGTATCTCCTTTGTATTAAATATATGAAGTGATACTAGGAAGTGTTCACCTCCTGGCTCAGAGTACTGAGCCACTTTAAACATTCGTCTTGGTGACAGTTACTCGGTTTGGAAAAACAGTAGCATGGTCTTCCTAAATCCTTTCCTAGAAATGCATCTTTTCTGTTTTTTTAATGTATAGTGTGCACAAATGGCCAACACTTTTATGAGAGTAAATAAGAACAAATTTTTCTTCTCTTTTCTCTGAAATACTTATAATTATTATAACGATGAAGTATGACCTGGGGCACAAATGAAATGCAGTGTTATTTTTTTCACTTATCTTTCCTTTAAAATGAGATCAGAGAGAGTAAATTCCTCTCTGTGTAACAGAAACCATATTTTTGTTTCACTCAGAGAGCAGAGATTACTGAAGTAACCAAAACAGACTCTCCTCAGTAACTAAAATGGCTGGTCCAGGAGACTAGTCAGAATCGCCAACTTTCCCTCACATCATAAAAACCTCTCTTCCCCAGCTTGGGTCAGCTTCCAGCTAGAAGCCAGCAACAGCAACACCTCTGTGTGGAAGGTGGTTGTTGGCGGGTGGTCACGGTGGTGGTAGTTGGCTTCTTGTCTGTGCCACTACTTGCTAGCTAAATTCTGACCTTTCCAGAGTTGGAAACAGCCTTGACTCATCACTTGGCTTTGCTCCCTCTGGGTTTAGTAGATGTTTAATGTTGTTGTTGTTGTTGTTGTTGTTGTTGTTGTTGTTGTTGTTGTTGTTTTTTAATGGGTCCATTTGTGTGCTTTTGTGGAGTACTCTATCCCCAGAAACTTCATTCATGGAAAAAAAAAAAATCTCTTGATCCTACAATATAGTTCAGCTTTCTGCCTTAGGAGTTGTTCTCTAAGACAGACCCCCTTCTAAACCCTTAAAATTCAGTGTTCTTTCCACGATTTTGCTTGTGAGGTCATTCCTCTCTTTTAAGTAGAGACTCAAAACAGCCTCCTATCTGTGTGTCTCTCTCTTCTACATGATCTACCACTGTTTCAACGAGTCGGGGTGTATCAGAGGGTCTTATGCAGTGACCTCCACTTAGGTATGTCAGGCCGCAGCTCCCAGACCATCCACTACGTTCCGTGTATAATGAGCACACACTGAAGCTTTCCATAAGCCGTCATAGAAGCATCTCTCACTAGACTAGAAGAAGTTATAGCTTCTCCCCAAGAAACTTTCCTGCCCCAAATTTCCCCTCTCTGCAATCCATTAGAGCTTGTAGCTGTCTCCTCTACAGTTCTGCATACAGTGATTTGTCTGATCCTCACTTGGTCTCTCACATCGAATAAAGTGAAGTCCAAGATGAAACTGAGGCAGGAAGCATCTCATTCTAACCTGATATTTCAGATTCAGAAACATGTAACTTGAGATTTTATTAGTCATCTCATTCTCTCAAGCCAAATTGAATGTATCCTTCACTAACACCTCTGTAGCAGACTGCTAGTGTTCTCCAAAATCTGTTCTTCCTTCTTAATAAAAGAGTTTCAGCTTATCCCACTACCGTCAGCTGGAGGATGCATTTGTCAGCTTCTGTTCTGTGGAGTGTGACCTCGTTTCTCTAAGTTCTCACCAATAGAAATTATCTAAATTCAAGGGTCACTGCATGCATTGGAGGACAGATCGTGAGGTTCAACTCTGGTTAAGGTGCAACAAGCATACCTTGTCCTATCACTACAATTATTACAACTGAGAACCCTGATAATGAAACATAAAGCAGCCATCAGAGACTGAAAACTGAGTAAGGATAGGAGGACAATGTAAGGCACTCAGACTTGCAGGAACCCAGAAGCAGTCCTGTTGTTCTCTGTGGGTTAGCAGCATCTCTGATCTATGTCAAGGTAGACTCTGAGACCAGACTAAAGATGGAATTGCACAAAAGAAGCTCATATTTGCACAATAATAGAAGCTCATATTTTCTGGTCAAAAAACCAACTGTGATGGTTACTAAATTTTATGCATGTGTTTAAACACATAGGGCAGCGTTCTTCAGACAAAAAAATGAATTTTACTATATGCACATTAAAATAAACTGTATAAAAGAAAAAAGGAAATCCCTTTCTTTGGACATTCTTTCTTCTTTTATTCTAAAATAATGACATAAAACTGGGTCATTTTAACCATGCACCTAGGATAATACCCAGCAGGTGGCCACACAATGGAAATGGAACACAGTTGAAGAAACAGTCTGGACTATCGCCATCTATGAGTCTGCATTTTTGTAGCAATTCATTTTCACCTTTGCTTATCAAACCTTCAATCCTTTGCGCCCAGGCTGGGCTACAACTGAGCCATGTCTGCCACATCTAAGATGGGTGCAAGATAAATGTATTAATTAGAAACATGGAGAGAGCCACAGGGTGCTATCGATCACCACTGAGAGGAGAGAAGGAAAGAATGGACAATGCTTGCCAATCATGGAGAAGCAATTAAGACTTTTTGAGTAGAATTTCTATCTAGGCTGATAGAAATCATTTTAATTGCTAAACAAACCATTAATCCATCTAATTATGTGAGATCTAGCTTATTTTTCCTCATTTTATCCATAAGAAAATAATGGGATATTTTTTCATCAGTGACTTGCTAAAATGCAAATATACTCTGTCTCTCACATTTCCCTGCCATTCTGTTTTTTAACAAGGCAAATAAGAAATTAATTTAGTCCAACTTGTTCTTAGTATACAGACAGTCCCCAGCTTACAGTGGCTCAACTTAATGATTTTTCTACCTTATGATGGTACAAAAGCATTCCCATACAATCACTGTATTTTTCATTTTCAGTACAGTATTCAATAAATTACCTGAGATATTGAACACTGAAATATAAAATAGGCTTTGTTTTGGATGGCCTTGCCCAACAATAAGTTAATGTAACCATTATGAGCATGTCTAAGGCAGTCCACATTAAGCTGTGATGTTCCGTAAAGTGTGTTAAATGTATTTACAGTACAGGTAAGTACATAAATGTATTTACCATAGTTCCAGCTAATGATGGCTTTATGGGAAGGAGCATCTGAAGATGAATTTCCCTTTGGAGGCAGACACAGATTATAATGATCAATTCTAAAATCCCATTTAGGATCATATGTACCAATTAGAGATTCCCCGAGTGAGGACAGGAGGACTACGTAAGGCACTCAGACTTGAAGGAAACCAGGAGCACTGTTGTTCTGTTGGTTATCCTGTTCTGAAAATTATAATAGCATTTTTAAAGTCTGTAGTGTTCCAGCTCTTATTTTGTCCTCCTTGATTCTTCAACAATAATCAATAATTCAGTGACCCGATTTGCAAATTCTCAAGAACCTTGGGAAATACCACACATTCTTAAGTGGAATCAATCAGACACACAAGCCTACATATCATGTGGTTTTGCTTCTATGAGAAGCCCAAAGTATAAAGAATGGGAAAAATGAAAGACAACAGGAAATAAGGAGGTAGAACTTTCTAAAACAGGGAAGGAGAACTAGAGCAGGGGGGAGGGGGAAAGGAGGAAAAGGAAAGGTGATGATAACAAATTAAGATGTGTGCTGTCCTGTACATGTACCAATTCTCCATGAGGAATGTAATCATGCACTGCAAACATGTACTAATAAAAAAGTGAAGCTTGGGGGAAAAGAACCATTGAAGAAAATCTGTGTTCATGGGCCAAAAATTAAAGTCCTTTTCAGTTGCTCAGATGTCTGCCTTTCACACTCTTATCTAATGAAATTTGAGTCCCTTCATATTAAAGTTCATTTGTCCATTAGTTCATTCATGTATTCAATAAATATGCACTGAGAGCCTCCCATACATCAGGCATTGATGGAAATGTAGCTGAGTCCACAGAAAATCAAACAGAAAGAAGTCCCTCAAGTCGTTTACACTTAAAGAAAAACACCGTATGACAGGTAGAGTGTCAGGTAGTTATCAGCTCTATAGAGAGTGATACTTTTACAGAAGGAGAAAAAGGAGGCTGATGGGAGTGTGCATTCAAATGTGTGAGGGAAGGATCATGCAGAAACTTGTAGAAGAGAAAGACTTTTCTCAAGAAAAAGATTAAAGTAGGTGAAGGAGTAAATCTTGCAGACATTTTGGGTATGACATTTCCGGCAAAGGAGGGAACAAGAACAAAAGCCCCAAGTCAGAAATGTGCCTGCCTTGTTTGACATGTCGTGAAAAGCACACCGCCGTTGCTAGAGTAGAATGAGTAGGAGAGAGAAGTAGGAGATGAGGACAGAAGGAAAGGAGGGAAATACTAGAAAAGAGAGGCTCGATCACAGATAAATTCATCTATTTTAGTCACTAGGAGTTTCTAGGCAAATAGAAGATGTTACTGGCAAACAGTACTACTTTGCCACTCTTCTCCAGGAGCCTGTTTTCTCATTTATGGGTTTACCAAATAGTTATCTATGGAGCACTTAAAAGGTGCCAGGTGCCATTGAGGCACTGAATAAAGTTCTCAGAAGTCTTCCAATCTGTTGGGAAGTAAAGCTTTTTGAGTTCACTATGAGGACTTCAGCTTTCACTCT